AACTCAATTGGCGTCTCCCCGTGGCCGGTGCACCAGGTCGCGCGGGCGTCCTCGCGCGGAAATCGGAAAACGGCGTGGGAAAATACTCTTTTCCATGTGATCCTGGAACATAAATCGAACAAAAATCCTAATTAGTAATGAAATTTGGGTTAGAAATACGCATTCCGATTTTTTTTAATTATTTTTTTCATTTGGCCTTAGGAAAAAAAAAGTCCATTTTTTCACCCTAAAAATGCTTACAAAATCGTGGATTAAAAATCCATTTTTGACAAAATCGAAAATGTGGATACGTATTTCTAAGCAGAATTTAATTCTGAACAAGAAAACCTATGCGATATCCAAATTTGATGATAACTGGTTAGAGTTATTTCCCACGCCAGTTTGAAAAACCCCGTTTTGAGATAAACGCGTTTAAGGATAAAATTGCTCTCTCAGCGCGCCGGTACATGTTTTAGGAAATCGCTTCGTAAAGCGGTAAGGAATATTCTGGCGGACTTGGAGTCTTTTTTAAATTAAAGTATACATCCCAAGGAACATTTTAAGCCAAAAAAAATGCATTTTTTTGAAAATCAAAGTGTACTCCCCCCTTAAAATTTTGGCAATAGTTTCGATCGAATATTAGTGCTGGAACGCCGCTTCGAACAATGGCCTGCAGAAACTTTTCTTTGTGCGCGGATCGAAAAATCCTTTCAAAACTATATAGTAGACACTTATACCTTTAAAAAAATGCAATAACAAAAAAATCGATTTTTTATCATTCTTAATGAGAACCAGCAAACATTTGGTAGATTTTCCAAACAGGGACGGTATTGAAAGCGAGATTAAAAGTAAATCCGAGTTGAAGCTTACCGCTATTAATGTATTCGGCGCAAAACGTACTAACACGATTTGATGAAAAAGCGCACATTTATAATCGTTACTGCACTTCCAACACTTCTTTGTTCATGTTGTAGCGAGATACGCAATATTAAAACTATACTGATATTGATACAGATTTTTCGAAGCAGAAATACAGATGAAAATATTTTTATAAGCAAAAATACAGATTTGCTTTTGGCAACCCTGGTCGATGACGCATCGACCGAAAGAACTGCTGATGAAGAACAATGAGGGGGCCACACAATAGTTGCTGCCGAGTAAACAGACGATCGCTTGACACACTTTGAGAGTGATCTGCTTCTGTCTACAGCCGAGTGAACACTGATGCCGTGTTCTAATGTCATGGCAAACAAACAAAAAGGTGATTATTGGAAAATCCCGTAACCCCAGAGCATTCAAAAATGTTTAAATTCCCTTAACAAAAAACACCTGGATGACACGTAAGTTGTTCCAAACCTGGTTCCATAATGACTTTGTTCCAGGAATCTGACGCTTTGCTGCTGAACAACTGATACCATCCAAGGCCATTTTGCTCTGTTAGATAACTGTGGTATCATAGTGCACTTTCTGCCTGCCAACGTAACCGCTGTCATTCAACCGATGGATCAAAATGTGATCCAAAATATTAAACTACGATACCGAGAAAAACTTTTGCTCCATTTGATGACCCACGACAAGGGTATCAACATCGATGAATGTTTGAAGCAGATCTCGTTAAAAGAAGAGAAATTTTGGGTACAAGAACCCTGGGCAGAATTACACGACGATGTGATTCAGGGATCATGGATGAAAATTGGTTTATTGGTTGGAGGAAAATTTGTTCATGAGGACGACATTCCGTTGGCGCTACTAATGGGCTGGAGCAATAATCATGACGACACCGTGATTGCCCACAATGTGGAAGAACGATAAGCTCATACAGATGAAGATATTTTGAAACTTGTGATGGATGATAAACGAAGAACCAGAACAGCAAACAGTAATTGAAAACTAGTAATTCCTAGTATGGGAACAGAAAATTAAATAAACAATTGATGTTAAAAACGGTTAAATTAGATGATTGTAAATTAATTAAAAGAAAAAAAAACGTACATTGGTTGAAAGACCTGTGCGTTGATTGATTGATATTTGAATGAATAAAGACTTAAAATCGATAATTGTTCAATTTATCCCGTATGCTCATTTTACCTTCACTTCCCCTAGGTTTCTAATTTCAGAATAAAAGTCATTCAGAGAGAAAAGTTTGAGAATTCATGAACAATTTATTGAAATCTGCAGGCTGACAAAATCATGGGTAGACAAAATCGGGGGTAGACAAAATCGGGAAAGCACTGAAAGGCATTCTTCAGAACCTGAAATACCGAAGCATTTGATTGTGCCGAAACCAGTTTGGTGTTGCTTCACCGTTTGAGCCCAAATATTTTATTCTCGTGCAGATTAGTGGTGCATGGAATAGCGATGCAGTAACATCAAGCAAGTGAAGATCTGAAAATTCACAGTATGATTAAATTGATACCCATTGTCCTCTATCTAACTCTAGTAGCGTCACAAGTGAGAAGTGATGTTCAGTGTGGAGTTACAAGACCTGTAAAAACTCCTCTGATCGTAAATGGAGAGAATACGCAACCTGGCCAGTGGCCATGGCATGTTGCCATTTACCATAGGAAAAACTATTTGGCGGAGTATGCATGCGGTGGAACTTTGGTCAGTGAATGGTTCGTTGTAACGGCGGCTCATTGTGTAGTGAATTGGAACTCTAAATACGATTTATCGACTGGAACTATTTTCATTCGTTTGGGGGTTCACAATTTGAACAAGTTGAATAAATGGGCTTTTCAAGAACACGACCTCGAGGAAATATATAAAGTGCCAAACTACAACCGTAGAATGCTGAAAGATGACATTGCTTTGCTGAAACTTGGTACGAAAGCCGAATTTGATGAATACGTTCAACCAGCATGTCTGAATCCGGTGAACGATCTCACGGGGCAGTTCGGTACGACTGTCGGATGGGGATTGACGGAGGCGGATACCTTGTCTGGAGTGTTGAAGAGCACCACAATGCCGATTGTTGATTTTTATACGTGCTTGTCCAGTGATCGAGATTTCTTCGGGAATGTTTTGGATGAAAGGGTGCTCTGCCGTGTGTAATGGAGACAGCGGAGGTGGACTGTTTTTCCAACGCTTAGGTGTTTGGAATCTAGGGGGAATAGTTTCCTTATCGAAGGCTCGAGAGACCCATGGTTCCTACTGCTATACCGAAGGCTATAGTGTGTTCACGAAGGTTTCATACTATTTATCGTGGATAAGCAATACTACCAGTATAGAAGCCAGCCAGCATAATCGAAACCCAATGAAAGCACATGAAAGTAAGAGAAACAACTTTAGACTGATTTAATCATTGCTTAATTTCGTAAATATTGCGCATTAACAATATCTTTAGATTTCTGGACGCAATACCTAAATTGTCGTTTAATACGCTTAATTCGAAACAAAGCTAATAGGATCAGTTTCCGCTTTCAGCTTACGTAGAAACAAGTTGGATCGTTATTTTGCAGCGCAGTGATGGCTCGGTGCGTTTTAATCGAACCTGGGCCGAATATCGCAATGGATTCGGAACGGTGGGACAGGAGTTCTGGATCGGCTTGGAGCAGTTGCATCAGCTGACCAAGGATTCACCGTACGAGCTATTGATCTAAATGGAGGACCTCGATGGTAGAAGTCGTTACGTAAGGTATACTCGATTTGAGATTGGATCTTCAGAAAATCGATATCCGATAGTGCAATTGGGCACGCACAGTGGAACAGCTGGAGATTCGCTGAGTGCTCACAAAGGATATGGCTTTTCAACTATCGACAGTGATCCGTTCGGTTGCTCATTGGACTGGGGCAGCGGTGGATGGTGGTTTTATCCAGGCGTTTGTTATGACTCGTAGGTTGCGTTTCTAATTGACGAATCAGAATGATCTTAATCACCGTTTCCTTATGGCTTTTATTTCAGGAGTCTTACGGGAGTATGGTTGAAGCGATATTCATGGTCATCAATAATTTGGGATCAGTTTGAGAAAGGGGAAGACTACACGCAGCTAAAATATGTAAGAATGATGATCCGGAGAGTTGAAGTCAAAAGAGAAGAGTCAAATAAAGATTACACGACTCCTTATCATTTTCCGAATAACTAACAATCCACGAACCTGCCTCCGATCTCTGCTACTAGCAGGACATAATCATGAAAAGAAAATTAAGTGCAGTTCAATACAAACATTATAACAAATTAATTTAATACACGAAAAATCAATAAAACACCTACATAACGTCGAAACCATGTCTAGATAGAGCTGGAATTAGGGCGAAACAGCTTTTGTGAACAATGACTTCTCTCGATGATTTCTAGGAATTCAAGGCACGTCCACGCAAATAAACATAACCATCAGGTAGGGGAAGTCTTCCTTTATCCGATGATGATGTTGATTTGCGTGGGCGAGCCTTAATTTTCTAGAAATCACCGAGAGAAGTCATTGTTTACAAAAGCTGTTGCACCTTAATTCTAGCTCTATCTAGATGTAACAAATAAGAAATATTATGCATGATTTTTTACGAAATAAGTTATATGTTTAGGCAGAGCTTAACTTCAAACTTTTGACATTTTCTGGGACTTCAAAAAAAATAAGATCTTCATCCCAATCGGACAGAAACGTCAAACAAAAATGAAACAGTAGTATTTTAATTTATTTTGTCAATAACAAATAGTCACTCCCATCACCATGATTTCAGGTCTTGAAAATTATATCAAGTTGCTGGATCGTGAAAACTTTTCTTACTTTGCGGTATTGATTTTATTTTTGCGGTTTTGCAATATTAATGCAAACATTTTTTTCTAGTGAATTTGCAAGTAATATGCATTGCTATAGAAAAATCACAATACCACATTTAAGTTTCTTTTTCGCAATTTGCTGAATCTTTTTCCAGCATTCAATGAACTATAACCCTTCCGCTACAATTGCTTCTATAGCTTTAGCAAACTACACCCATAAGATCCAAAATCCAGTGAACAAAACAAGAGAGAACAAATAAAAACAACTGCTGTCAGGTACCTACCAAAGCAATGCAGTCATTTTAGGTAGCATCAATGTTCACAAATTCTAGAACACAATTTCTGCTCCAGTCTACGTACAGATCTGGTGGCGTCAAGATCGTTATTTTAAATGTTTATTCGGTATAAATTGTAAGAAATTTTGTTGGTGTTTCAAAATATCGTACCGTATTATCTGTACAATCAACTGATATGAAAGAAAACAATTCGGTGATGCATCTGTTTTCAGTGATTTACTATTTGGTTGGAATCACTCTCATTAGTGCCAGATTCCTGCAATCACCTTGTCCAGAGGTGTTTAGCTACCAGTTGGATCCCAACACAAGGCAGTATTTTGGTCGCATCGAAGTAGATGATATTAAACCACGAAATATAGCCCGGCTGAATGTTGATCTATCCATTGGGATGGAACTGCCACCAGTGAGTATGAGCAGAAGTTTATAATTAAGTTATGGCGCTAAAAAAGTCACTTTTCCAGAAACTAGTAGGTTCAATCGCCTTGGTGAAATCTCGCCAAGCAACGATCGAAGATATTATCAGTGGCCAACCGGCACAGTACCGAGTCACCTTTCCACTGCCGAACCTTTTACCCACGGTGCTATCGATTGCCCTAAACGATCGGATTATTTGCAGAGGCTATCGAGCAGCGGGACGAGTTTTAACCGCCATCAATTTAGAACATACTCTGTACACTCAGCTGCACTCGCAAAAATTGTCACAAAAAGGCAAAAATTTGCATCTCGAGGAATCTGAGTCCGAATTGATAACGAGATTTCAAGAGCCCTTGTTTCCACAGTCTGTTCCAAACCTGTTGGTCAGACCAGCTACAGAACGTACCAGCGTCGCGGCACCAACGTCGCCCAATAAATCGTAAGTCTAATTTGCGTTTCAAGATGATCCTCATTACTCATCCTTCTCCGTGTGTTTTCAGCATCTGTGGTCGTCATTCCAGTGCGTTCTTAAAACGATACACCTTGAACGGTGAACTGGTGGACAAGGGTCAATTTCCTTGGAATGTGCCTCTATTTGATCGCACACAGCTACGTAACCCAAAGTACATGTGTGGCAGCACAATCATCACCAAAAAGCACCTCATCACGGCAGCTCACTGTGTGTACGAGATCGACAATTTCATCGAACCGGAAAGACTGCTCGCAATACCCGGGATGTACAACATTGACAACTTCTTCGAAGAGAACGCACAGTTTTCCTACGTCGAAGCCGTCATTCCGCACGATGAGTACGAACACGAAGAAGATCTGAGCGATGCCGATCTGGCAGTTTTGCGGCTCAAGAAAGAGTTGGTGTTCAACGATTACGTAGTACCCATCTGTCCGTGGCAGGGAGAAAACGACCTGAGAAGCATCGTTGGCCAGGAGGGGTACCTTGCAGGATGGGGAGTAACCGAACGGGGAGTTACTGCGGTTCCTACCTACATCAAAACGACCATCGTCAGCAGGCGCCAGTGCAATGTGAACCTGGAACGAATCTACCCAAACAATGCACGGATATTCTGCGGTGACGGTCGGGGTTCAACGCCTTGCAACGGAGACTCGGGCAGTGGATTGGTACTGAAGCGAGGAAATCAGTACTACCTGCGGGGTATCGTATCGAGGGGATTGGTCGATCCCAGTACGCTCAGGTGCGATGTGACGAAGTATGCCGTTTACACCGATATCGCACTGTTTCGCTTTTGGCTGAAGAGTGTGGTTGGGTAATGTGAATGAGATCAGTTTAGTTTATGTGGTTCAAGTATATGTGTGTTATAATGTTAATTTTCTGAAGCGTGTAATATAAGAGGAATAACAGAAATCAAATCTTCCACTTTTTCGCAATTCAAATATGTAAAGTATTTGACTCTGCAGTTGTTTTGCCTCAAATTTCTTAACGTGAAAAATTCACTGACTGCACTGGCGCATGACATGCGGCGTCTTTACTGAATAGACTTTCGAAAAGCCCCTTGTATTAACATATTTACTATAGAACCTTATACGACATTGCAACATATTTTAGGTTTCATTTTGCGAGCCTGTAACAAAATCATTTTACTGTATTACATTGTCTAAAGCCGTGCTCAAGGTTTTTTTTTCTTATTAGGCGGGATTTCCTTTTTTTAGCCCTATTCCCATTAGTGTAGCTAATGGGTGTGCCTAGGGTGTCTGGCCCTCTTGTTATTTTTTTCTAATTCTAGTACCGACAATTTAAATTATATGAATATGCAATAAAAGGGTATCTTCCATTTACCGTATGATAATGTTTGCACCATTAAGCAATGTCAAAATTTAAAAAAAATCTCAAAAATTTCGTTTTCGAGTTTTTTTCAATTAATTCAAAGGGGGGATGTTTTTCAGAGTCTTAAACTATGTTAATTATCGATCGAGTTTCCACTTGCTGCAATCACGGCGTACGCACGCTTCCAGAATGCACTGCAGGTTCTAATAATGTAGTCTGAATCCATTTATCTCCAGGTACGGGTCAATGTTTGTCTGAGGCTTGCTGTACTCGGGTGGCGTTTAGAACAGGCCTTGGCCTTCATGACGCGCCGTATTGAGTAATCCAGCGGATTAAGATCGGAGCTGGATGGCGGCCACATACCCTTCGCCCAGAACGGACGATGTTCCTGCAACCACTTCTGAGTGCGGTTCGAGGTGTGGCACGGAGCCCCATCTTGTTGAAATGCAACATTTGGCTTCGGACCATACTGTTCTTTGATCCACGGAAGAACATACTTACTTAAAATCCCGATGTAGACCTCCATGTTGACGTTGTCGCCTTCTGGAATGAACACCGGGTCCATTTTTTTACCATCGGAAGCCACCAATCCAAACACCATAACGCTAGCAGAATCATCATATCATCATATATCAGATACACGCTCTTGTGCTCGTCAGCCACGTCTTTTACCGGAAGAAAACTAATATACCGGTTGGTTCTGGAATTTGATACGGGATCGACGGTAAACATACTCTCGTCGGTGAACAGGATTACCAGAATTTTCGCTTAAGGAAGTTCAAGATTTTCTTGCATCGTTCGACTCGAAATGCGGTTGGTAATCATGTGAGTTTTTTTCCGTGCCCTCGACTTCACCCCGCAATCTTCGTTTACGATCTTCCGTGCCGTAAAGTCACTGATCCCGTGTTCCTTTGCCATTTTCCTTATTTAACGCACTGGATTCACCCAAATCTTCCTTTTGATAGCAGCGATAACCCTCGGAACCCGAGCTGACCTCGGACGACCTGTGGCCACCTTCGCGGATAGTTGTTCTTTCTTTTCTCGGTCTAAAACCCTTTTGACGGTCCACCGGGACACTCCCACGGCGAATGAAATGTCTTTTTGCGACATTTGCGCGTGGTACAAATCACGAATACGCTGCCACTTCGTCATGGTGCAACCATAGAGGTAACTCTAAGACCACTGGGTCCCGAAGAAAATCATTATTATTTTTGGCTCACTCAGTACCAGAACAACGGTCCCAAGCAGTCCCAAGCTATTTCACTCACCCCTGCATGTTCTGCATGAATCCACACACCCCTGATGTTATCTGTCAAACTTTCATAGCGAATCAAAACAAACATAGTGTAGTAATAGAATTTCAACTAAAATAGGGTACGTTAATCGTTTGCTTGGGACCAATAGGCTACTAAAGTGGTGAGCCAATTTAAAATCGTTAGTTTCGTATTGATTGTTGGTGCAACTGTCAAACTAAGTAAATCATTTTCTTTTATACATAGCCTACTACGGTATGACCTATAGGTTACGTACATGCAAAGAAAACCAAGGCATTGTATGTACAGCTGAAACGGGAACCTTATTTGTACGATGGTGCAAACATTATCACGCATACGGTAATTCCACTTAATTATTGTTTGTATCCAAGACAGAAACGTAGTTCGACTACAGTGCAGTCCTAATCCGGTTTTTTATTAGAAGGAATGACACTGATGAAGACTGCACATTGTAGTCAAAATACGCATCTGTCATGGATACTAAAAATAATTAAGTGGAATTAAATGGAAGATAACCCCCTTTTTCCTGTTTTTGAGCATTCCACTAACAATCCAATTTCATAACTTCTTTTTGTTTTTTTTTTTGTTACTTCATTTAAGAGGTTTTCAGCCTAAAGGCTCGTTCGCTAGGGTAAGTACAACTTGATCTGCAGTAATATTTGGTGTAAAATTGCTCAAATTGGTAATTATTATAATTTTTAGTATGAATATTAATGATATTAACTGTCAAGTGGACAGCTTCAAAGTAAAAAAAATAACAGTGTAACTTTAACGCATACACTCAATGACGTTTCACCGTTGTTGTTTATGTTTACTGCAGCTTTCATTTTTGCCTAGATTTTCGTTTTCGATAGCTCTGATCGATTTCGACTTCGACTTTTCATGATAAAAACGGTACTGGACGTTCCCCCAGCAGCAAATTTTGCAAGTTGCAGGCTCATGTGAGCAAATCGAGTGTAATACGACCACGGAACCATCACTCTGGGACTCCGTTTACAGGGGAGGCGTAGTCAGTCGATTCCCGTTCCATCGGAGGACAGCACATTGGTTTGCAGACGATGAAGAATTCGTGGAAATTAATGACTATTTTCTGGGACAGAAGTGCGACCGATTATTTGCACTGAGATCAGCTAACAAATAATGCCGAGTTTTTTAGAACAAGGAGCGGATTTTGGTGGCGGTGACCAGCAAGATCATCAAAGAATGACTTCCAACTGGTGTGAAATCCATTTTTTATTAAACGAATGTCAAATGTACACTTCAAACCAAAAATAGTCAAAAACATAAAAAAAAACAACTGTCAGACTAAGTATAAGAATCGCAAATATCACACATTTTAAAATATATAATATTGATATTGATACTGATACTTCACAGATAAAAATTCTGAATTTTAATTGCGATGTAAACATTCATTCACGTAAACTTAAATTTAATTTCACACAACCGAGCAACTTGTAAACAATGTTGTTTACAAAGATGGGCTTTTGTATACAATATTTGCTACATTGCATGAATTGTGCTAGAACTTTACATGATATATAATGTAAACTTATATGATATATGACGCTCCATTTGTGTGCATCATATTGAACAGAAATTTACACTACTTTTCGAACTGTGTTGGACCTGTCCTTCCCCTACCTGGTTCGCCTCTGGGAGATGCGAATAAGTTAACTTGAGCCATCCAATATTTAAAATTTACGATTCATTAAATTTTAAAGAAAAGATTGGTTTCTTTTAAGAATATTAGGTATAAGTTTAGTTTCGTTGACTGGATCATTTTGCAGGATACTCCGGATATTTGTATCTAGGTCCAGGTTCGTTCGTACTGTTTCAAACTGCGGACAATTTATTAGTAGATGGTCCACTAGACTGATGTAAAATTTGAAATTTTCGCTCCACAGTGTTCAAACGGTTTCAAATCCGATCCTGATTATCCTCCGAAAGCTTAAACTCATTTGAAAAGAAACTGACTTGGCACAAACCATTTGAAGTTTATATGGAAATTACTATGGGAAAACAAAACTGTTTGTTCATTGTCTTCTAGCCTTTTAACATATTGTACTGTAAACAAATTCTATTGCTATTCTTATGAGAAATTTTATTAGCTGCAACTTTGCAGAATATCATTTTCAACCAAACGTCAAATTAAATAGTTATTAATTGTTTAAGAGATTCATAATCTTATGACAAGATTAAGCAACTGTATTGTAGGCAACACTGTATTCTGCAGTGTGACATAGTAGCTATGATTTTTTCCTCTATTCTACGCGCCATAAACACTACCCAATCAACAATTCTAGCTGCAGACCAGCCTATACAGGCACAAATTAGCTGTATAAGGGAATTTTTAGCTGTATAAGCTAGTCTGCAGCCAAAATTGTTAGTTGGGTAATGTTGCCTGCTGAACAGTTGATTGAGCATAATCATAAGACATCAGTGACTTGAATCATTAATAATTTTTGTTCCTTACATTTGATCGAAAAGTGGTCTTCAACAAAGTTGTAGCTGAGAAAATTAGAAAAGTATAGAAAACTGGTAATTTTGAGATAGATTTGAACCGAAATTATAGTTTCTCGAGAGTAATTCCCATATAAACTTCAAATAGTTTGTGCCAAGTCAGTTTCTAACTAAATGAGTTCAAATTTTGGGAGGCTAATCAGGGCCTAATTTGGAACCGTTTGAGCACTGTGGAGCGAAAATTTCAAATTTTGCATCAGTCTAATGTTCTACCGTTAGAGGAACCTGGCAGACCTGGCATGTTGGTTGAGGAGAGGATGATATGTAGTGCTGATGGGTGATCCTTGTATGTCCAACTCTAAGACGGGATAATACTGGTTGTTTTCTTCAACTTTTCCTGTACGACCATCCTCCAGAAAAAGGACTCTGTTTGATGCCCACTGCTGCTCCCATGTACCATTAACATGTTGCGTGATTGTTCTGCGAATATCAGAACATGGTATGTTGAGGTCCCATTTTTCAGAGCTTCGGCCAAGGTAAACGGGACGGTCTGCTTCCTCGTTGCTTTTAATGCCGCAGTGGCCGGGTATCCAGCACAATGTGGTGTTAGCTTGGGCGGCAATCTCGATGGCTTGAATTAACGGGTGTTTCTGTCTTGGGATCTCCAATGTTGCCAGAACACTAGCCGAGTCTGAAAGTATGATTGTAGGAGTGAAGTCGTCAGCGCTACTGTTTATGGCGTGTAGAAAAAAATACAGAGAACTGACCTGGAAGTCTGCGTGCAACACATAGTTCCATTCGCTCGGGACCCGTCAGTGAA